CCATCCTGACTGTGTCTGACAACCATCCTGACTGTGTGCCCTGACAACCATCCCTGACTGTGTGCCCTGACAACTCACCCCTGACTGTGTGCCCTGACAACCATCCCTGACTGTGTGCCCTGACAACCATCCCTGACTGTGCTCCCCACCACCCTGACAACCATCCTTGACTGTGTGCCTGACAACTCTCCTGACTGTGTGCCCTGACAACTCACCCCTGACAACCATCCCTGACTGTGTGCCCTGACAACCATCCCTGACTGTGCCCTGACAACTCACCCTGACAACCATCCCTGACTGTGTGCCTGACAACTCACCCTGGACAACCATCCCTGACTGTGTGCCCTGACAACTCACCCTGAAACCATCCCTGACTGTGCCCTGACAGCCATCCTTGACTGTGCCCTGACAACCATTCCTGACAACTCACCCTTGACTGACTGTGTGCCCTGACAACCATCCCTGACTGTGCCCTGACAATCCTCATCCTGACTGACTGTGTGCCCTGACAACCATCCCTGACTGTGCCCTGACAACCATCCCTGACTGTGTCCTGACAACTCACCCCTGACAACCATCCTTGACTGTGTGCCCTGACAACCTCCCCTGACTGTGTCCCTGACAACCATCCCTGACTGTGCCCTGACAACTCATCTGATAACCATCCTTGATTGCTCCTGACAACCATCCTGACTGTGTGCCCTGACAACCATCCCTGACTGTGTCCTGACAACTCACCCTGACAACCATCCTGACTGTGTGCCTGACAACTCTCCCTGACAACCATCCCTGACTGTGTGCCTGACAACTCACCCTGACAACCATCCTGACAGGTGTGCCTGACAGCCATCCTTGACTGTGCCCTGACAACCTATCCTGACAACTCCACCCTGACTCTGTGCCCTGACAACCATCCCTGACTGTGTGCTGACAACCATCCCTGACTGTGTGCCCTGACAACTCACCCCTGACAACCATCCTTGACTGTGTGCTGACAATCCACCTGACTGACTGTGCCTGACAACCATCCCTGACTGTGTGCCCTGACAACTCCCCTGACAACCATCCCTGACTGTTCCTGACAACTCACCCTGACAACCATCCCTGACTGTGTGTCCTGACAACCATCCTACATCGTGCCCTGACAACCATCCCTGACTGTGTGCCTGGACAACCATCCCTGACTGTGTGCCCTGACAACCATCTCGACTGTGTGCCTGGACAACCATCCTGACTGTGTGCCCTGACAACCATCCCTGACTGTGTGCCTGACAACCATCCTGACTGTGTGCCCTGACAACTCATCCCTGACTGAGTCCTGACAACCATCCCTGACTTGCCCTGACAACCATCCTTGACTGTGCCTGACAACCATCCTGACTGTGTGCCCTGACAACCATCCTTGACTTCTGACACCATTCCTGACAACTCATTCCCTGACTGTCGTGCTGACAACCATCCCTGACTGTGTGCCCTGACAACTCATCCTGGACTGTGCCCGACAACCATCCTGACTGTGCCCTGACAACTCACCCTGACTGTGTGCCCTGACAACCATCCTTGACTTGTGCCCTGACAACTCATCCCTGACTGTGTCCTGACAACCATCCTTGACTTGTCTGACAACTCACTCCCTGACTGTGTGCCCTGACAACCATCCTTGACTTTCGCCCTGACAACTCATCCTTGACTGTGTGCCCTGACAATCATCCCTGACTGTGTGCCCTGACAACTCACCCCTGACTGTGTCTCTGACAACCATCCTTGACTTGTGCCCTGACAACTCATCCCTGACTGTGTGCTGACAATCATCCCTGACTTGTCTGACAACTCACTCCCTGACTGTGCCCTGACAACCATCCCTGACTGTGTGCCCTGACAACTCACTCCCTGACTGTGTGCCCTGACAACCATCCTGACTGTGTGCCCTGACAACTCACCCTGACTGTGTGCCCTGACAACCATCCTGATCTGGCCCTGACAACTATCCTTGATCTGCCCTGACAACCATCCTGACTCTGTGCTGACAACCATCCTTGACTTGTGCCTGACAACTCACTGACTGTGTCCTGACAACCACCCTTGACTGTGTGCCCTGACAACCATCCTGACTGTGCCGACAACCATCCCTGACTGTTCTGACAACCACTTCCCTGACTGTGTCCTGACAACCATCCCTGACTGTGCCCTGACAACCATCCTTGACTGTGTGCCCTGACAACCATCCTGACTGTGCCCTGACAACCATCCTTGACTGTGTGCCCTGACAACCATCCTGACTGTGTGCCCTGACAACCATCCCTGACTGTGTGCCCTGACAACCATCCTGACTTGTTCTGAACCCATCCTGATGCCCTGACAATCATCCTTGACTGTGTGCCCTGACAACCATCCTTGACTCTGTGCCCTGACAACCATCCTTGACTGTGTGCCCTGACAACCATCCTGACTGTGTGCCTGACAACCATCCTGACTGTGTGCCCTGACAACCATCCCTGATCTGTTCTGACAACCATCCTTGATGTGTGCCCGACAACTCATCCTTGACTGTGTGCCCTGAACAATCACCCTGACTCTGTGCCCTGACAACCATCCTTGACTCTGTGCCCTGACAACCATCCTTGACTCTGTGCCCTGACAACCATCCTTGACTTGTGCCCCAACAACCATCCTGACTGTGTGCCCCAACAACCATCCTTGACTTGTGCCCTGACTGTTTATCACCTCCCGTTATTTTGTTGTGTTAATGTATGTGTCTCCCCCTCCCACCCTACTGCTCAGATATCATGTTCTCAGCAGTGACACAGTTCATCCCAGACCTCAACACCACATGGCTTGGTCTATTTGTGGTGTTTGAGAGAGCATGAGCTTGTGTTATTTTATGCTACAGTGAATTGCTCGGCTTACATTTGATTTATTTTTTTTTTTCTGAAGGAAGTTGGTTATTTACGATATTGAGGTTGACATTCATTCATCGTTTATTAATATGGTTGGGTACTGTTTATAGGATATTTTGACCACTGGAGGAAATTTGTTTGATGTGATGCACTGTGTGGTGTAACAGGTGGTCACAGGGTAGAGTTTTCTTGCTTTGACCCTTTTCCTTTTTTGTTTTAAGTATATTGTTTCCTGGTCTATTGGAATTGAATGACAATTTTCTCTCCCTCTTTCTAAAATATATATTAACCTATAAAGCGACTCTTCCTAAAATTATTATTCCCTCATGTTATTAATTTCTGTTTTTGTTGTATTAATTGTGTAAAGAAACTTCCTGAGTTAAGTTTTGAATATTTTGTCTTGACTAATTTCATTGATGGTTTTCGGTACAATACAGTACAAAATATTAAAATTAATGCATCTATTTCCTCAATTTTTTATGCCATTAATTTGTTTTAATTGTGTATACATGACTTATTGACTTGGTATCTGATATATAGTACTGCACTATATTGTAAATATAGTATACATTAGTACTGTACAGTATAGACTTGACCAACACTGGAGCAGGTTCAGATACATTCAGGGGTCAGAGCATGCCCAATATTTGCCAGCAGTGTGTATCAAGAGACTTGACCGACAGCCCAAGCGGCTAATGAGCCGATCAATGGCGAAGAGGATAAAAGAAAAAAAATATACTGTAGTTACAGTAAATACTGTATATGTTAATGTTTCATGGTGGGTTGCAAGTCAATTTTCTGTTTAAAACAGGCTGGCAATACTGAGTTCTCTCTGTTGTGAGGGAGGCCTGTGGGGGACCTTGGTTATGTGCTGCCCTTAAAGCAAGAAGTGAACTGAGCAGCAACCAGATGTGACACAGCACTGTTGCTGTCCTACTTGTCTGCTACTAGTTCAGTGTATATAGCAGAGCTTATTATGGCATTGTGTTGTCCTTTGTCATTCTGTCTTTGTGAAAAAATTTTGTGTAGTTTTTAAGATGTTTGTTATTGAGACTTCAGACTGCTGTCTTTTGGGCTCTTCACCAGTTTTATCTTCGTTTTAAAGACAGTCATTTGAAATTAGAAAATCTTTGTCTCGCATTTATAAATATTTGTGACAGAATTGTAGTATTTCGAACGGTGGTGAATTCTTGGGAAGAACTGACACTTTTGAGAAACAAAAGACCAGCTATTATTTTTATTATTATCATTATTAGTTAATTGCAATATTATCATAGAATTATTAAAACCTGCATTTGTATTATATATGATTAATGATATTGGCATACAGTGAGTCATTAATACTCTGGTCAGTAATGATTTATTGTTAAGTACCTTGTAGTACAGTATCCTTCTGGAACGTAAATATTATATATTTTTAGCTTGCACTGTAGTTAGTCTAATGCATAGCCCTACATACTAAAACAGGGCTTGAAGAATGGGGTGTTTTCTTAAAGAGCCAGCCAAGGTCCTCAGGAAAGAAGTGACAGAGAAACAGTAGGGTTGGAGGCTCCATTATGAAAATAGGTACCAACAAATCATTGGCACCGACCCCTTGAAAAATCTTTAAAAATAAAATACTGTACTGTAGTGTCAGAAAACCATTTTAGGATGTGTAAACGTTATACTGTACTGGTGTAAGAATTTATGTAAAATAGATGATACTAGACCAATATTTCCAGATGCTATTGAACATTGAGAACCCTGAAAATATATGTGAATGGGAAGCTCAAGTTACATTAAATGAACTAAGATAGGAAAACCTGGCAGACCTGAAGGTTGAATAAAGGGTAACAGACATTAAGCTCTTGACTCAGTGGATTACAGATGAGAAAATTTTAATGTTTCAATGTGTGAGCCATCTCGGTCTTGCCTTTTCTTTGTTACATTACATTACTCTTATAGACTTTTGTTTGGAAGATGCTGTCAATACGATACCAGTCTTCTTGTGCTTTCTTCATTTTCCCCCCTACAGCATTAGTAAATATTGTACTACATTATAAGACAAGTTATAGTTAGTTTGAAGGTCTTATACACAAGATAATGTTGTCTTGCCCTCCCCAGGTATATGAAGAAGGAGACACGGGAGTTCTTTGGATTAGATGATACTTCTGAGGCAAATCAGCGGCAGCGATGGCAGGAGAAACGGAAACGCCTGGCCAGTCGCAAGTATGGCCAGCTCAAGGACCAGCCCAACACTACCCACCACACACAGTCTTTCACCAGTGACTTCCATGCCTTACAAGAGGTGAGAATATTGTGTGGTGTTGCTATCCACAAATGTATAGTTGGCTGCTCTCCAGATCTGCTGTGTGGTTGCCATAAGGTAGTTCAGTTGTAAGGTAGTAGGTACAGTATATAGTACTGGTACTGCAGTACCTCTAAATAATACTTTTTCATTATTAGTTATTTAGGAAACTTATGACTTCCAAATGAAACTACACGAGGTGATATTGTTTGTTCATTTTAATAATTAGACACCAACTTGTGTTAAATTATGAAGTTTCTTTAATGCCATATTAGCAGTTTCCAATATCATAGTCACTACTTTTGTGCTCTTGGTTCGAGAAACATTGGGAACTCTGGGAAGCTCTGTACTAGAAGGAATTTTGAACTTATAATTTTAGAATTTTCAGATAAATTGCAAGGTTTTATGAGTGGATTATTTACACAAGTTATACCTACACAGAAAGATGTTAGAATTGTTCTGATAAATACAATAGGTTTCATTTTCATTGTTGTGCTATATGAAGGCAACAGGATGGGTAAAAGGCAACAGCATGACATTAGTACCGGTACTGTACTTTAATTATAATGTACAGTACGGTATATACTTGAATCACAGTTATTTATAAGTGACCAACATGGTGACATCTGTGTTTACAATCACCAGTGTTGTTATTCTGGCCTTCTCCATGTGGTTCATTATAGCTTTCCCCTACAATAAAGTTATGCCACACTGAAAATTAATTAAGAGGATCGTGAAGTTGGTCCCCCTCCCTGAGAGCAATTACACCCCCTTTTACAAAGACGAAGGGCACCACAGCCCCACAGGATCAAAGTTAATGAACTGGCCAAGTTTTCAGCATCAAGAGAGTACAGTAAATGTTATTGAGGGTGCCAGTGGTGAGCATGGTTGGGTTTTTATTGTTTTTCACTTTTGGATGTGCTTTTAAGTTATTTAATTTGTATAGATGTCACTTTACTTTGAATGGCATAAAAGGTTAAATATTGTATAGCTTATCTTGTCTTCCTATATTTCCTGTCATTTGTCTTCACAGCTAGGTAGTGTTTTTTCTTCCTCTTCCACCTCTCTCATCCCATAATTGTCTTCCTCTTCCACCTCTCTCATCCCATAATTGTCCTCCTCTTCCACCTCTCTCATCCCATAATTGTCCTCCTCTTCCACCTCTCTCATCCCATAATTGTCCTCCTCTTCCACCTCTCTCATCCCATAATTGTCCTCCTCTTCCACCTCTCTCATCCCATAATTGTGCTCCTCTTCCACCTCTCTCATCCCATAATTGTCTTCCTCTTCCACCTCTCATCCCATAATTGTCCTCCTTTCTCCCTTTTTTCCGCTCCCAATTTAACCATCCTTGTCATCTCAATACTCCTGGATTGTTCTCTCTTGGTCACTTAATTATTGTCTTGCTAAAGCTTCAATGTGCTGCACACACACACACACACAGACACACACACACACACACACACACACACACATACACACACACACACACACACACACACACTCTCACTCACTCACTCACTCACTCACTCACTCACTCATTCAAAATTCTCAAAATTCTCCCATGTTTTGAAAGCTAGAGAAGGTTAGATTGGTATTTACTGGGAGGTTGTCTTATGTGAATGAAGTCATTTGCCTTTGGTTGTGAAAATCAAATTAGTGTGTGTGAGTGCGTGTGTGTGAGTGAGTGCGTGTAAAAGAGATGGCTGGTTGGAGCAATGATAGAAGTGTGAGTGAGTGCAGAAGAAGTGAATAATGAATTTGGGAAAAGGATGTAGGTGGGAAATGCAATCAGGATCTTAAAGAGGAGAAAGACTGGGTAATATAATGGTATTCCACCCGCAGTCTATCACAGTCTGTTACAGTATATGTTTTAGTGTTTGTTTAACATCATGTCCTCTACATTGTACAGTACCTTGACCAAATTTTACAAAGGAGATTCTCATGGGAATGCTGTACACGAAAGCCTATTGATTTGGGGGTCAGAAGGTCACAGGTCAAGATCCCTGCAGGGCTTAGTGTATGACATTTGTAGTGTTTTTATCTATTAGTAGAAATAAAGTAGAAATGGTGATGGAAGACGAAGTGTGACATGGAGGGAAGGGGATTATGGGAATTGGTTCAGCAGCGGATTAGTTTGGGGATATGCGTAGTGCATTATGTTTTCACAGCTTTTCTCGGAGGGATCAAGTAACCTTAACCCTTATTCTGCATTTTATGTTAATGACAGCTGTTATTGCTTCTCTCAATTTCTTAATATGTAAATCACCCTCTCGTTTCAAACTGAAATTCGTTTTTCTTTCTATTTTTATATGATTAGCCCTCATTTATCCCTTGGGGTTCAATTACGGACACTAATAGCTCCATGGCATGACAAGTGCAGATGTACTCAGGGTGAGGGGTGGGAGGAGGGGCAAAGGTAACTTTGTCATGCAACTCAAGAATTATTACCCCATCAAGGCTCAAATGTTAGGTGTCCAAAAGGGTTACATGCTTGGAAATGTGATGGTTGGTGGAAGGTTCAGTCCTGGAGCTCCTAAATAAGGGTTGTCACAGGCTTGGCCCTCTCCAGTACAGTATTGGATAGCTCTTCACTTAATTTCAATAGGACTCAACACATATCAGAAGTCACATTCCGAGATGTTGGGTCCTATAGTTTTCACCTTATCAGTTTTGTTTGTTAATCTGTTGCGCTATACATTTTATATAGAATGTGTAATAGCCAGGGCCGTGGAGTGCAATGGATTATGGAGTCAGATTATGCGGTCAGAGGAACCCACCCCCACCAACCCCCATGGGACTGTCGCTATGGATGGTAAGGTCACGGTTGTGATGTTGGTGTAAGCCGTCAGGTCAGATTAACCAGTCAACAGGTAACGTGTCCGAGGTCACTGGGTCTAGTGCTGGGCGCCGCGGGGCCCCTCACACAGGCGGGGCCCCTGGCGGTCGCCCCTGTTCGCCCCCCCTAAAGGACGGGCCTGGTAATAGCTCTTACTTTGGTAGTTCAATACAGTATGTGCAACAGGGCTTCCTATACATAAAAACTTCTTCAGGTAATATATTTAATGGTTAAAACTACATTATTAATTTTTTAAATGAAGGGAAAGTAAACAGACTATTGCATGATGTAGCTATTTCTTAATTTGTGCCGACTATGGTTAATACCGATAACAGTAATCAGACCTCTTCACTTATTCCAGAAAAGACTCGGGATGATTCTTTTTCACAAGTTGTGTGTAAAGTCCTTCACCATTGAACATGATTCCCCACTCCACATCAACTTAGATATGCATCACACAGCTTCTCAGACATTCCTTACAGAATTAGGACTTCAATGCTGGTGTGAATTAGGACAGCTTCCTTCCCCTCTTAAGAAATTTCAGTCAGGACCTTGCTTCTTATGGGAAAATATCCAGACCACCACTCTTCCAGTATTCCCTCCAGACATCTTTTAGTGGGGTCCTTTTATGCAGTAACTACATTTACATGGCACACAACAAAGCAAGATCATGTTGATATTGGATATCATAAGGTAATATTCACACACCCAGATTGTCATTGAAGTTGTTTAAGTGTGTCAGTGTTTACATAAGCTCACTTTTATCAAGTATTATGCTGTGGAACTGTCTATATGTAAATATTTTCCACAGTGAATTGTTATTTTGCATGTCTTACTTTCATTAAACTTTATGAGAGCTTCCATTTGGGATACATTCATACACCTTGATATTGGGATCAGGCCAAAGGACTGTACAGTGAACAGTAATGGAGCATCCCTCAAGCCTTGCTGGTTTGTTATACAGTATGTTAACACTGAGTGAGTCAGTCAAGGTATCCTCAGGCCTGGAGGTTGGTGACCGCAGCCCTCTACTCCAAACAGTTGCAGGCTGTCTTTACCAGTCCTGTCAGATTTTGTCTCTCTCTGGGGTTCCAGATTTAATATTTTTCATCCTTCACAATCTTTACCATCCCCCACCTCTTCTACTCTCAATCTTACACACTAATATTTCTATCATCTCCTTATCCTTTGATATAAGACCAAAGTATTGAGTTTTTAACTTTCTTTGTATATCAATGCTCTAGCCAACTTTTTTTCCATTATAACTTATCCTTATCATTCCATATAGTACCACATTCCAAAGACCCCTTAGTCACTTCCTGGTGTCTGCTGAAAGAGTCCATGCTTCTCACATTGATCACCCTTTTCCTCAAACTAAAATTAAAGTCCCTTTTGAATGATTCAAGATTATGAAATGCTGTTTCTGCTTGATCCTCTATTGGTAATTTTTTGCAATGAATATTACCTCCCAAGTACATAGAAAATTTTCTTGTGTTTAAGTTTCTTTCCATTATATATATATATATATATATATATATATATATATATATATATATATATATATATATATATATATATATATATATATATATATATATATATATATATATATATATATATATATATTATATATATATTATATATATATATAAAATATTGATTATACTGTACATTATTGCTAAGTCCATACTCTTCTTCCATTAATCTGCTGACCCTTTTTTGTAATGCTTATTCACTTACTGCATTGATCAGTATCATCTACATTCCAGATACTGTACTGTATTTGATATTACTGTACAGTACCTACTTAACAATTGACTGGCTCCATTGCTACTTACATTATCTCCCATAAAAATTTTTAAATGGATATACTGTACTGTATAGTATTGAAGATGGGGTACAGCTTTGTCAAACTCCCTGTCCAGCACTGCAACTTGCTAATGTCGGGGATATATATATTTTTTTCTCTACCATGAATGCCTGTTTTTAACAAGACATATATTGTAGGACTTTATTGTATTACCCTTTCAAAGCTTTTTTTCTAAATCACAAGACTGATATACCAGTAAAAAGTTTATCTGAACTTAAAAAAATCCTTTCACTAAAACTCAAAATTCACAAAATCAAAGGTGGTCTCCATAGTTCATCATCCCTGAAATCC